GTGTGTGTGTGTGTGTGTGTGTGTGTGTGTGTGTGTGTGTGTGTGTGTGTGTAATAATTATCTGAAGGAACTTTTGTGACTGATTAACTGAATTTTAGTTTTCTATCTTTGTGATCAGTTTTAGTTATTTACTTAAACAGTTAGAGAATCAACAAGTCTCTTTTTAGTTTTAGTGTTAGTTTTTTGTGTTACCMCAGGTGGAACTAGGCTCACTATGAAAGCTTTGCTGGAAGAAGGAAGTGGGGCCGTTTTGTCTAAACACAGGCATGGGGCCCACAGAGCTGTGAAAACCTTTATACAGTATGTGTAAATAAATGTTCAAGTCTGCATACTGATTCGAGTCCTATGAAAATGTTCTTACAGATCTTAGATTTGTCTGTTATGTAAGGGCACATTGTTATTAGTCCTGCTGTGAGAGGTTCAGCTGAGGGGATGACAATATAGCTGCAAAGTTCAGTCCATCCCTCTGTCTGCCATCTGTGTTAACTTTCATCACAGGCAGCCATCGAGGCCAGCAGAGATAATGGAGTCATCTCCAAAGCAAGCCGAATGTTTCTCTTAACAAAAGTGGTATTTATTTAAATACATTTTTTTTTTGTCTTTGGATAATCCTCCCATCCAGCAGCACATCACGTGCCAAAACAAAGAGACCCTGAGGATGGCTGCCATGTCCTTTTTTCACCTCCCCAATAATGGTTGGTGGTCTGATTGAACAGATGTGGCCAATCAAGACTTACTAGTCTCATTTCTGCACAAATCAGACACACTGTCAGTGTTTTAGCAAGCTAAACTGCTGCTTGTAACTCATGGCGCATGGACAAATGCTCACCAGACAAAAACTAATTATTGTTATAACTCATAATTAATATATGCCAGGTAGAAGTTTCTTCACTAGAAATATCCTTGTCTGATTATAGTTTAACTGTTTTACAAACTTTGGATTTCATTTCATCAACACACAGAGCACACACTGAAACAGAAAGTATTTAACTCAACACATACAACATTAAGCTCTCACCTTCTGGTTCTTGTAGTAAAATGGGTCGATGTCCTCCAGTGGCACCCCAACAAGTTCGGCTGGGATGTCACCAAAGATGCGTGGCAGCTGCTTGCCTGCCTCCAGGTCGGCCCTGGGTTTGGGTGGCCCTGCGTTCTTCGGAGCATCAAAGCAATCCTTGGGGCTTTTGGCCTGCTCCTCCAAAATCCGCCGCTCCAAGGCAGCCAAGGATTTGCGAGTGAACCGCCGCAAGCCATCAGGACCCGTTGGTAACAGCATGGCTGCCATCTTTTCATCCTGATTGTCCTATACTAGAGTTTACTTACAGCTGCAGGCAAGGGAATGGTTACAGAGAAAATGCAGAGAGAGAAGGGGACAAAGAATAAGTGAAGAGGTTAGCTTTGGATTATGTTCTCAGATTTGTAGATATTTTCTATCATATCGCAAAACAACTTACTTTCCTGTCTTTTTGTACCAGCAGTATTCAAATTTAAAAGAATGACTTCAGCTAAAGTCAAAAACTACTGTCCCTATTTATTTTACAATGTGAAAATTATTTAAAGATTTTGTATTTAAACGTGATATAAATATGTATACTCTTTCATTTTAAGGGGTCACCACAGCAAGCAAACTTGCATATGTAATATTGTATATGACAATATTATATTATACTGTATATTGTATTGTATTGTATTGTATTGTATTGTATTGTATTGTATTTTTTATTTTGACCTTCTTTAAGTTTCAGCATATTATTATTATTATAGTTTGACAACATGGTAGCACATGCTAATTTGTAGTCTCATGTGGTCTGCAAAAGGTTAAGAAGCTTGACCCATTTTAAAGAGTTTATATCCGGTAGAGTTTGGTCCTTTCCTTTCTCTTGCTTTCAGCAAACTGCTAAGGGATACACTGATCCCTAGCTGTTTGGTGCTGCACACATACACTGGATAGTTGATTTGAAACCCCATAAGCTGCTTATTCATGGGTCAGAATACCAGAATAATTAGATCACAGATGATCAGAGCAACACTAATAGAAAGGTAAATACTGAAATAAACCCTACCCAGGTGGCTGAATGTGCTTAATAACATAATCAGAGGAAACAGATTTAGATTTTTTAACATATGACGAGCAAATGATGAGTGTGGAAAATATTTTATTTATTTCATGAGAGAATAATCAATCACATAAGTATAAATGTAGTACAACAGACAGAAAGACAAAATTAAATTTATTCTGTTCTTGGATCTTCACACCATATGCATTTGTTTTGTTCTGTTGCAGGTTTTACTTTTTGTCAAAAGAGACCACTGCTGTGACAACGTAGGACAAAAGAAACTGTGTTAAAGAGTAAGATTCAGAGGATGCAAGACATTATTGCATTCTGTAATAGTGTCTTCTAAATTTAGTGAGTTTTAATTGTTGTTTCTAATTTTCATTATATCCCACAACAAAACTGGCAACCAGGATGAGCACTTCAATCCAGAGTCTACTGCCTTTCCTGCATCCTGCTGGCGAGTATCCTATACCATTCACAATGTGGCAGAAAGTATTTGACAATTACATGCTCATCATAAAACCTAAATGGCCAAATGCAAGATGTTGAGGAACTTGTCTATTCTACACAATATCTGATCAAGATACACCATTCGATGAAGCTGTAATAAAATATGTTTTCAATAAAAGGAGGTCTGAATAAATAGCAGAAAATCAGTTGAATCTTTTCTAAAAACTTTGTTCCCATTCTGTCTCCTCTCAGCTCCAACAGCAGCCAGGCAGCAGTAGTCAGCAGACCTCTGAGTCAAGTGACCTTCACCTTTCCAGGAAAGCAAAACAAAAGCCCAGGCTGATCTAAAGCAGAGACTGCAAACTCAATAAATAACAAAAATCTCTTCTGCCTCACCATAAAGTTGAATCAACCCTTTAAAATATGCATCTGACTGGTCACATCCCTGGAGGTGGTAACTTTTACGTCAGACGTTAGAACGTAACCAACTTTGTTATTTGTTACATGCATTTTCCCTTGCCTTTGAGTCAGAGTGAGATGATGCAAAACCTCACTGTGTATCATAACTCTGTTCTTTACATACTGTAAATATAGATGCTCCATATTTAGATTTGTATTTTGACTGTATTTTAACTGTAATTTGAACTACGTCCTGTTGTGTCTGTCTACTGTACAGCACTTTGGTTGGCCTTGTGCTGTTTAAAGTACTTTATAAATGAAAGTGGTACGGTATGGTATTGAAGACAGAAAGAACATCAAGGAGACACACAAACTCTCATTTTCTGTTTTTAACCATATGGCTACAATGATCAGAAAGTATAAAATACAAGACTGTACCTAACATWTACTTAATTCCGTCAAAGCTATGGCTGCACTTTAATATAATGTAAATGTACTTTATTTGTCATCAGTGCATGTTCCCATACAAGGATGAAATTTGACCCATCACATGTGAGAAACACCCAAGTGGAGCAGCGGGCAGCCATGTGAGCTGCCAGAGAGCAATTGGGGTTTAGTTGTCTTGCTTAAGGGAGATGCAGACCTGTGGGCATGGCGAGGAGTCAAACCTGTGATTTTCTGATCCCAAAGTCGGCTGCCCTACCACTACACCACAGCTGCCTTTGAAAGACCTTTTGTCAACACAGCTTTTCCACTGGGCAGACAAATAGTCAGACAATGTGTGTATCATGTATGTATGTTAAGTTTTGGAACCCATGCTGACAAATATTCAAAGACACAAAGGTAAATAAAATAAAATAAAATAAAATAAAATAAAACAGATTTGTTTATAAAATTCTTGGATAGGAGACAACTATGAAAAAAGGAACAGTTGCAGCACTACAGAGGTGATAAATATTGGCAGACTGAAGCACAGAGTCTTCACATTGCAAGATGCCAATGCCAACATAAGTAGTATGTCTCCCAGCTTAGAGCTTTTATGCTGGTTTATACTTCGAGTTGCACGTCTTCCCCCTGCCGAGTGACAAAAAATTGTGCAAATTCCGTCTGCTCTCCCGCTGCTATCCCCCCAATGACAGCTGTCGTGTTTATTGCCCCCAGTCAGACCTCTGCAATGCAGACCTTGGGGCTTGGAGCATGTGATTGGTTGGAACTTTGTGGGTGTGTTTGTTCATGAGGACTCTTCACCCAACACAACACTGATCATTGAGTGATAAAAAACACAACATTCAGACATCATTAATGCTGTTTATGAGCTGTGGGAGGGTAGAAGGAGGATCTGTAATAATTTATAGCGTCTTCAGCTTTTTTATACTCGCTCAGGAAAAAAACGTCCAAAATGACGCAAACACCAACCCGCTGTCTCATGTCGTATTGAAGTATAATTCAAGCTTTAGCTGCACCATGTGCTTTGGACTGGTGAAAAATTAACTCATAGATATCACCTTATTGCTAATGCTTATCACAGTGCTGTGAAAGATAATTTACTGCTGGAGAAAGTCCTCACACAAAGCTCCAACCATCTCACATCAAGTGGAATCCCATCTGCGACCCCTGGTCTGCATACTGTATGTACAAGGTGTAGATGTTGCAAATCCTCATGAGTCAAAAGAGGGGTGCAAACTGCTCAGACATGTGGCCCTCCAACTGTTGTTCATAACTGCAAAAAAATAAAAAAATAAAAATAGATATTTTACCAAGTAGTGGTAGTGAACGTTGTAATCATTCTTGATTTGACTGTACTTTGTGTGAGTGATATTAAGCTAACAGCTGCAGTATTTGAAGCAAAATGAACATTTAAGCACCAAGATGAAAGCTTTAGGTCCTGGAGTGAACTGTAGACAATGAAACTTCTGTATCTTTTTTATCAGAAACTGTCTACAAGCAACATGATGCACAATGTCTACAGACAGAACCAAAGGTAAACTAGTCATTTCAGCAACAGGGGACCTGCATTGGCTCCTTCCAAGCTACAGCAGGAGTTGCAAAATCAAAAAAGTCCCAGCATAGACATGACTGGATTGCCTCTATTGGGCCTCGATCTAATTAAAGCACTGGAAAAGTGACTTTCAATAAATTGTTTGCAGCACACGCAATTTCCGGTTAGCTTCTAAGCTTAGCTTCCTTCACGGTTGAGTTGGTGCACTATACGTCACAGCCAAACATTACAGTTGGGTAAAATCATATCCAGTTTCAACAGAGTCCACACATCCAGTAAGAAATCATTTCTCAATAGTCGAGAGTCCAGACCCTCCGAACGAAGCAAAGTGAAGAACAAGGGTCTGGTTTTAACCAGGCTACTATGAGGACTACCAACTTTAAAGACATTGGCCTACAGATCAATTTAAACAAAAGCTCATCTGGACAGTGAAGTAGTTCATTCCTGAGACATAGGAGAGCTTGCAGTCCAGCCCATATCACCTGACAGCCATCACTGAACCTCGTGTACCAAAAGATATGGCAGCTCTTCATTCATTTCTGCGCTTAACTTCCTGGTTCAGCAAGTTTCTACCATGTTAAGCAACAGTGGTTGAGCCACAGTAATAAATACTTTGAACAAATTTGAACCCTGAAGCAAAATGAACTGAAGCAGCAAATAAAAGTTTTAATGATATTAAAACAATACCATCTACAATTCTGAACTGCCAACATTCATCACAACAGATGCCTCAGACTGTGGATCTGACACAGATGCACATAGACAAAGTGAAATGCATAATTGCTTTAGCTTCTGGCACCATCTCCACACTGTTTTCAGTCAGTATTCCACTATAGAAAATGAGACTCTTGCTTGTGTATGGGCAGTTAAAAGTGGAGGGTACAGTATATGTTTTTGCATTGTAAGGCATGACCCCTGCTCCAGTCGGCTCAAACTCTACTCCAGCCCTGATTGTGTTTGGATTGAACAGAGAGTCGCCACCTTCATGTAGATAGGATCATAATGTTAAACACACATGATCTTCATTTTATTTGCGACACAATAATGATGGACCACAACAAAGTCAAAAGAAAAATACCGAAAATTGAACTGGACCATCCAGCAGTACAAGAGAGCAGGACAACAGAGGACAGTAAGCTAATGTTGGCTTTTTGTTAGCTGTTGTGTTGTAGATTACTACTGTTGTTAAACAGTGACACACAGTAACAGTAAATAGTTAAACTCATGTGGAAAAAAAGCATTCCAGTCGCTGCAAGCAATTTACAGTACATAAACGTAACTAACATAAATGAACTTTATCTTAATGATAAAAAGACAGAGGTCATTTTATTCGGTAACTCTGATAAACTGACAGGATGCAGTAGTGCTGTTGGACCACTGGACCCTTTGTCTGGCCGTGTGTCTGTTAGAAATCTTGGGG